GCGATATTAAATGCACAATCTCACAAATTATTCAACATAATTTTGGGGTGCAGATGCCTCATGCAAACCAAAGAATGCTTCTGAGTCCATCCAGGGAACGGGCAAAGTGGAGATGTTGAGACGCAGTGCTGATGGGAAGGAAGCCTTTACATCCTACCGTTCACTTAATCATCTGCATATTTTCCCTCGTGCTGGGGATGATTTGATGGGGTATGGTTCAGAACTCCCTCTGAGTGCTTAGTAAATCTTTCTGACTGGCCGAATGACCCTTTGTCTCTTCCCTTTCCTATATTGGAGCGTTGGGGATGATGTTCTGGGCTTTCACCATCAACCCCCACCAGTGATGTCACTGTTCCCTCCCTGCCACCACCCCTCTGCATCCCAAATGCCCTCACCCTTGCCCTGCACGTACAATAGATCTTCCTTCTATGGGCTTTTTGTCTTGGCCGTCTGGGTCCACTGTGTCCCGCTGAGCGTTGGCACGTGCCAAGGTGAAGGCTATAAGGGAAGCAAGCAGTGTGGTGAGTGATTCTGAATCGGGACTTTGGAACCACACAGATCTGGGCTGGCCTCCTGCCTCCATATCCTTACTGTGTAATACTAATATCCGAAGCCTCAATTTCCTCCCTTACGAAATGGGGACAGGAATACATGCTTCAAGAGCTGTGAGAGAAGATTTAACGAGACTCTGTACCACTGAGTGCAAATCTAAAATAAGCATTCAATACACAGCGAGAGCCTCCACGGGCCTTAGGCATGCTTGCCTTTGAGGGCCCCTTCTTCTTTGAAAAAAATATTAAAAATTATGTTTTATGACTGTGTTTGGCATAAAGATAAATAAATTAATGTTATATATTAAAACATTTACCCTAAAAGCCCATTTTTTCCTGTTTTAAAGTAATACATTAATAATACATTTTTATGGGCTCTTAAGACTATCATGGGCCCTACGCACTGTGTCTGCTGTGCCTAACGGGTAGGTCAGCCCTGGGTGAGAGATTTGTTTTGGGGACCCCTCCCTCTACCTTCTCCCCAGCCACCAAAAGGTCCACAGTGTGGCGCTGCCACCTAGGCCTGCCCACCCTTTTCCGTTTAAACCCTGTTCTCATTCCCCATCGTTCACGTGATTGAGTCTTGTACCCTTAGGGCTTTATTCTCATTCTAGTAAGTTGACTTTTCTGATAAACTGTTTCTCACTGAGGTAATAGTGACTGTGTTCCCTCTCTACTGTTTCTAGAGTATTTGCATCTTGAGAAACTGTATGCTATAATTCAAAACAATATATCCTATGGAAGAATTTTAGTCCAGCAAAGGAAATACTTCAAAGCAGAGAGTGAACTTGGAGAGTCATTTAGATTGTATTGTGCCAGTAGTGTGGGGCCTATTGCATGTGGACATTCAGTGGGCTTTGGTGATATGATTAGAAGCTTCTAGAAGGCAAGCCACAGCCTATCCCCAGAATTCTCTTGGCAAAGAATCATGCCCAGTGTAGTTCTAATGGGATTTCGTTTATCCTAATGGAATCACACATCACTTCTGTTCCCCAGAAGTGATGGGGAACAGAAGGGATGACTTAAGGGATGACCTCTAGCTGTGCTTGGTGGACACTGTACACCACCACACATAGTGCTAAAAAGCAAACCTCACTCTCTCAGTGCTTGGTATGTTCTGGGTTCAGGCAGGAAAGTAATCTCAGGAATTATCTTATTTATAAAGCAGGGAACTATGGCCCAGACAAGTGGAATATCTTCCCTAAAGTAGCAAAGCAAGTTAATGGCAGAATAATCAGGAGGGCATCTCAGGCTTCCCCCAGACAGGGCTGTGGGTACCATTGACATCCGTCAGGGCTAGGAGGGGTGTCCACTGCAGAGTGCAGGCTCTGCGGTGAGAATGCCTGCTTTGCTTCCCGGCTTCATTGCTTCGTCTGTGTGTGACCTTGAAAAGTCACTCAATCTCTAAACCCCAGTTTTCTCATCTTCAAAATGAGGGAGGGAGCAGAAATAGCATTAACCTTATACACTTGTAAAGATCCTTAAAGTTGTTATGAGAATCAAATGAAATTATCCATACAAAGCGCTTAGCACAATGCCTAGCACATAAACCCTCAATAAATGGCTCTGTTGTTGTTGTTGTTATTATTATTATCACTCCTACTGTAGCTATCACTAATTCTCTTACTGCCTCTGCAATTCTGGTGGCCTAAAGACGGTGTTAGTGCTGCTTCCCAGAGTGTGTGTGGCACTGCCCAGGGAGTGGCCGGAGCAATGGGAGAATCTGGCAGAACAGGTTTTCTCAAAGCAGTGGAAAATAAATCAAAGGTGATAACCCAAACCTGGAAAAAGAATGCGCTCCTTTGTGTGTTTACCGGTTGCAAAAGAACCCTATGCTGAAATAAATCAGAAGCAACATGGCTGAAGCTCTCTGGTATGTGCTTTTCCTGGCCCAGGAGGATAGATAGTGGCAACTTTGAGTTTTTGCTGAATGTGGTGGTGGCTGACAGCGTTCTGTGATGACGACGTTGTCTATACCAGTGAGCAGACAGGATTAGGAGTCAGCGAATCATGCAGAGACAGCAGAGATGGGAGTTGGGGAAGCTTCATTCCCAGATACAAAGTATGCCCTACCCCTTGGTACACAAATTGCCCATTGCTGAATGTGAAGTTTCGGGGGACTTGGTTAGAACTCTTGGTTGAAAGTAACAGAAGCCCAATTCATATTAGCTTAAGCAAAAAGGGAAATTCATTATAGGATTCCATGGTGTATTAAAGTAAACAAGGAGAAAGGCAGGGCTGACCTGGGATTGGAAACAGGTCTCAAAACGCTATCAAAACCTGTGTCTCTCTTTTCTGCTTCATTCTTCTTTCTTTATTTAGAGTTATTAAATACTTCCTCTATGGCTCTGCTTGACGCAATGAAACAACAGCTCACAAGTTTTGTAAATCACTATACAGCCATCCAAAGAGAGTCTGGTCTCACTTTTTCCAAATCCAGAATTCTCATGGAAAGGAAGGACTGATTGGCTCGATTTGGGTCAGGTTTCTTTCTCTGATTACCAATCGGCAATGGTGAAATGTTAAACCTGTTATACCAACATGGCACATCCACCCTAACTATATACCCGCTGTGAGTAGGCAAAACCACAGATAGAGGGTGAGTGAAATAAGTATTGACCAGCTAGATGACAAGACGCATATTATTCACATTTGGTCCTATACTGCATGCTGGTCATTCTCAGATTCCTCATCATTTTACCTGAGATCTAGAATGTCTCTGTGCTCACTGACTTCTCCCGGCCTCTTCATGCTAAGGAGACCCTACCCTTAAACAAGCTAATTCCAGCATCATAGAGTAGAAACAACACAGGCTTTGGAGCCAAACAGACCCTACATTAAAGCCCAGGTCTACTATGTACTAGCTGTGTGACCCTGGGCAAGTTACTTCACTTCTTTGAGCCTTGATTTCCTTATCTATAAAATAAGGGTAATAATACCTGTCTAATGGGGTTGTTGTGCAGATTAAGGGAAATAAAGTAACCATATTTAAAGTACTTGGCATTTAATATGTACTCAATTACGTTAATTTCCTTTTCTTAATTAGGCTACTTAGAAATCCTCAGGAGGGTGAGGGAGTGGCAAAAAAGGGAAAGAGAAGAAAGGAGAATTTTCTATCTGGGAAGTATCTTTCCGCCCCAGGTATTCTACAATTATCCTGAGCAAACATTAAATAATTTGAGTGAGTCAGAAGCACTGGGAAAGCCACATTTCGAGAGATACAGAAACCAATCAACAAGACCCTGCAGACCAATGATAAATGTTTTATGTTTCTTATTAATTTATTGGTGTGGCTGCATGGCCTTTAAGCCTTATTCTATAAATTTTAAGGTTCATAAATTACAATCTGATTGCTGAATTAGTGAATGAAGTACTTTTACACTCATGAAATACTTAAACATGTTGCTTGTTGAGAAACACGCTCCCCTTTCAGAATGTAGCAAGGCATACTTTTCCTACCAAGTATTGTTGATTGAGTTGTTACTGCAGCAAGCACTTCCTAAACGTCTACATGCACTATCTCATTTCTTCCTAGGAGTTAAGTGCCCCATCCAGAGAGTGTCCCCATTCTCTGGATTAGGAAATTGAGGCTCAGACAAGTGAATTACCAAGGTCACACAGTGCACAGAATTGGAATTTCAGTTTGACTTAGTCTTCTCCCAGAGCCTGAGCTCTTAACGACTGTGCAGTACTGCCTCTCAACACCTTGGTCTTGGTTACAAGATTTGGAGACAGGCAACAGAAGAAATGAATACCCAAGAAAATCCGTGTGTAGAGTGTTTCATTTGGTAAAGGATAACCTCATAGCTTCTGTGCGTCTACACAGTGTTACTACGTGGGCCTAAATGCAAAGCAGTGGAATTATAGGAAGATAAATAGGTGAACAATAGGTAGAATATCTTCTTGGACCTGAGAACTATTCTAATTACTTACGTAGAGGATAATAGAGATAAAGGGGTTGAATCCATGAAAGAAGAAGCTGGAAATTTTCATTCAACCTTAGACTTGTCAGTGTTTCCTATTTTGGTCAAAACTGTGTGTGCTCTGATCACCCGTAGCTGCATGGAGTTGTGTGTGCATACATGTAGAATATTCTGGCCTTTTCCAGAAAACGACAATGCTTTAGTGATTTATTAGTGGTTAATCTTGGTACTGTGAATAACTCCTTATGATATTTGAAGGATTCTTTATCCATTGACCTATGTACCAATCATGGGAACTACTGTGATTTCTAAACTGATTGATCTGCTCCTCCAGAAACTTTTTATTTTGTCCTTCTTGTCCTACTGTGAGTTTCATTATGTTCCAGACTGTGCTTCATTTGTGCTTTTTTCTTTACTGCATCTTATGGATAAATAGAGAAAACATGTATTATATCTAACCTTTGATTAGAAGCACAACAGAATTAATATATCGTACTTTTCTTTTTTATTCCCCTCTGTCTTACAGCTCCAGGGTTCCTTGAAAAGAAAACAGGTAGTTAACCTGTCTCCTGCCAACAGCAAGAGGCCCAATGGCTTTGTCGACAATTCATTCCTCGATATCAAAAGAATCCGTGTTGGGGAGAATCTGTCTGCAGGACAAGGTGGCCTTCAAGTAAATAATGGACAAAGTCAGATTATGTCGGGGACCTTGCCTATGAGCCAAGCACCTCTGAGAAAGACTAACACTCTGCCACCCCACACACATTCTCCTGGCAATGGTATGTTTAACATGGGCTTAAAGGAGGTGAAGAAGGAGCCAGGAGAGACCCTGTCTTGCAGTAAGCACATGGATGGCCAAATGACCCAGGAGAATATGTTTTCTAATAGGTACGGAGATGACTCCGGAGAGCAACTGATGGATCCGGAGCTGCAGGAACTGTTCAATGAACTGACCAACATATCTGTGCCTCCCATGAGTGACCTTGAACTGGAGAACATGATCAATGCCACCATAAAGCAGGATGACCCATTTAACATTGACCTGGGTCAGCAAAGCCAGAGGAGCACTCCCAGGCCCTCCTTGCCCATGGAGAAAATAGCAATCAAAAGCGAATACTCACCAGGCCTGACTCAGGGCCCCTCAGGCTCTCCTCAGCTGAGGCCCCCATCAGCTGGCCCTGCATTCTCCATGGCCAACTCTGCCCTTTCCACTTCGTCCCCCATCCCTTCCGTCCCTCAGAGCCAGGCTCAGCCTCAGACAGCCTCAGGAGCAAGCCGGGCCCTGCCGAGCTGGCAGGAGGTGTCCCATGCCCAGCAGCTCAAACAGATCGCTGCCAATCGTCAGCAGCACGCCCGGCTGCAGCAGCACCAGCAGCAGCACCAGCCCGCCAACTGGTCAGCCTTGCCCTCTCCCGCCGGCCCATCCCCAGGTCCCTTTGGGCAGGAGAAAATCCCCAGCCCTTCTTTTGGCCAGCAGCCATTCAGCCCGCAGAGTTCCCCCATGCCTGGGGTAGCTGGTGGTGGCAGCCAGCCGAAAGTCATGTCTAACTACATGTACAAGGCCAGCCCCTCAGCCCAGGGTGGGCACCTGGACGTGCTCATGCAGCAAAAGCCTCAGGATCTCAGCCGAAGTTTTATGAACAACCCGCACCCAGCCATGGAGCCCCGTCATGGCAACACCAAGCCTTTGTTCCACTTTAACTCAGATCAAGCAAGCCAGCAGATGCCTTCAGTTTTACCTTCCCAAAACAAGCCTTCTCTCCTGCACTACACCCAGCAGCAGCAGCAGCAGCAGCAGCAGCAGCAGCAACAGCAGCAGCAGCAGCAGAGCTCAATTTCAGCTCAGCAGCAGCAACAGCAGCAGAGCTCAATTTCAGCTCAACAACAACAACAGCAGCAGCAACAACAACAACAGCAGCAGCAACAACAACAGCAGCAACAGCAGCAGCAGCAGCAGCAGCAACAACAACAGCAACAGCAACAGCCACCATCCCAGCCCACCCAACCTCTAGCAAGCCAGTCTTTGCTGAGGTCCCCCTTGCCGCTTCAGCAGAAGATCCTGCTTCAGCAAATGCAGAACCAGCCCATCACAGGACTGGGGTATCAAGTCTCCCAACAACACAGACAGGTAAGGCTGTGCCACTCCAAACAGAGTTCCCAGGTACCACTTAGCTTGGTCATTATGCTTTGGTTACTATTACGTTTGTGTTGGGACAGGAGCAAGACCAAAACTGTAGTGATCTTGATGGATTCATAAAACCTGGTTCCTTGTGGCATCTAGAGGAAAGGGCTAGTGTTTCCTTGTAGTATTATTGTCCTTAGGGTCTGTAATGATCAAAGGTTCTTGCTTATTAAGAATATTGCATTATAGCTCATGCCTTTAGTGATATGTCCAGTCATCTAGTCGTGCTTTGATATGCCCCATGTTCATGCATCATTAAGTCAATATGCACTTTTTGAAAACCTACCATGTGCAAGATGTTGTGTTAACACTGAATATTGGAATAAGGCCGGTGGTGTTATTAAGATTATTAAATGACCAATCTACACCTGTACCACCAATAGGAATGTCTGAGTGGCCAACCTATCACCCTAAATAAGACATGATCTGTGTCTGCAAGCACAGTCTGGAAAGGGAGACAGGCTTCAAAAACTATCATTTCAATACCAGGTGGACAGAGTAGTGAGATGAGAGCACAGGGATTGAGTATCTTACGCACCAAGGGAAAATCAGGGAAGTAATTTCCTCAGGGAAGTAATGCCTGAGTTCAGAGTTAAAGGATGAAATCGTCATGACTACAGAGAAAAATAACAAAAAAAAAAAACCTGTGGTTACTTTATGTCCTTTGGTTAACATAAAACAGGTTTATTCTGCCCCAAATAGGAACAGTATGGAGAGACAGCTCTGTGCCTCTAGAGCACACACTGGTGAGTAAGCCCTGATCCCCAGGGAACTTGAAAGAAGAAACTCTTCCTGGAAGGAAGGAAGTTTGAGTATTGCTCTGTGCATGTAATTTGACAGGCCTACATTATCTGTCCAAGCACAAAGACAGCACATTACACGTTAAAACAGTATGTCAGGACAGTATGATGGTGCAGAGTGTGATTACAATAACATTCCTAGAGTAGTTTTCATGGCTGCTGCCCAGAAAAGAATGCCACAAACACCGCAGGCTATGTCCAGTCTAACCTTTGCTCTAAATGTGGGCCAGGAGAAAACTAAACTGAACAAGATTTAACAAGCTGTGCACCAAGGAAAGCTTTCAGCTCTTATCCATTTAAGAAGTGTTTTTTTTTTTTTTTTAATTGTGGATTATAGAGTAGAGTCATGTATATATTTTACAAAATTCCTTTTTTTAAAAAGGCAATTTTTGGGATCATTTAAAAACAAATTGTAGAACTACTTTCTAATTCTATATGTAGGCATTTTGATTTGGATGAATGTAGGTTAAATTCTTACACTGGCAGTTCTAGCTGTGTGACTGCAAGCAACTCACTAAACTTCTCCAAGCCTATATCTTCACCTGTCAGTGAGGGTAATAATAATATCTCTTAGAGTTACATCAAGAATGAAATGAGATAATTCTCAGCCTAGAGTCTAGAATAAGTTGACTATTTCGGTGATTATCATGGGAAGAGCCATAAATAACCAAACTGTTATTTTTAAACAAGCACTACTCTTATGGAGGAAAGGCATTAGAGTAAGTCCCAAATTCTAACATAAATGGTATTGGGGAAATAAAAGAGAATTATCCCTAATTCTTCCACTGTCTAACAGTATGGTAAGTGCATAACAATTTGGCCTCCTGGGCCCAGATGTCTCACTATAAAATAGAAATTATAAACAATGAGATAGTAATGAGTTAGAATTTATTGAGTACTTACTCTATAACCAGCATGACTTCTGTCTCCCTTACTTGCAGTATCTCATTTCACCTACATGAGGGAAATACCATTATTCCCATGTTACAGGTAAAGAGAATTGAGGCATAGAGAGGTTCAATACCATTCCCAAGGTCAGACAGATAATAAATAGCAGAGCCAGGATTCTAATGGCCTACTCTGAAGCCCATGCTTTCAGATGCTAAGATATACAGCGCACAGGTAGGAATTGTTGGGAAATGAATGACTACTTGCAGATCAATGGCAGAGTCTCAAAAGGAACAATTCTTCTAATATTGAGCCCTGTTTACATAATCTACATAGCAGTTTAAGTCCTTTGGGGATAAAGAAAATCTCAAATCTCTAACCTTCAGAGCTATTAAAGAAAGAAATTTTAAAAATGTGAATCTGTGCAATCGTTGGCCCTCCTGAGTCAACGTTATGGAGTTAACCAAAATAAACACTTTGCAACAGGAAATATATATCTTTGGTGCCCCATCAGCCCTTTTTTGGGAGCCTCCCTACCACCTCCAACATCCTCTGTGCTGTGTCCGGACATACCACTGATATCAGCAACTGTACTCCATACTCCTGACCTCTTAGTCCTGACCAAGCTTCCAGGACCCAGGCTCACCAAGGGGTGCTGACGGCCAAATCAACAAACATCTCCCAATGCCTTAGATGATTTTTCACATTTCCCAGTGCACATGACACATAGGATGCCCAGACAATTTTCATCTCTTCTAGAAGGCCCTTAAAAAGTGATGGTAACAGTAGCAGCATTTCAAGTTAAAGGTCTCTACTAAACAGGCAGTGACTACCCATTTAAAGCTTTACCCCGACTTTGTAGGTTAAACCACATTGTCCTCCCAGCTCAATGATTCTATAAGGTAGGACTTTAAAGTCAAGTGTCTGAGTTTTAAGCAAATATACTAGAGCTCTGTTGTCAAGTCAATGTTGCCCTCTTTAAAGTATTCACTTTGTGAAGGGGCTTGTACAAATTCTAATCATGATGCTATTGTTTAATACAGCTATAGAATTTTCTCTGGGGATTGTCTTTAGTGCTTATAGCACATTTGGTAGATTATTACCAACACAATAACATTCATCCTGTTGGGATGATCTTTGAGAACAGGCAAGCTGGGTAATGCTGCTTTGGGTCAAAACCAAAGAATAACCATGACATGACAAGTCTGCATTTCAAGTGTGGTGTGTGAAGGCAATAAACAAAAAAGAGTTCCTGCTCAAGATGACAATTTTGAGAAGCACTTTTTTTTTTTTTTTTTTTTTTCACATAGGGTCTCACTCTGTCACCAGGGTACAGTACAGTGGTGTCATAGTTCACAGTTGTAACCTTGAACTCCCGGCCTCAAGTGATCCCCCCACCTAGACCTACCAAAATCCTAGGATTGCAGGCATTACCCACTGCACCTGTCCAACTTTTGTTTGATATACATATTTCTTAAGTTCTTATGATTCTTTTTATATCATCCAGTATATTGCTAAGTATTCTCTATTGAGTGAGGGTAGTTTTAAGTCTACAATCTATACTAGACAGTACAAATATGTATTCTCATGCCAGAACAACTAAATCTCTGTTACTTATAACCAAAGTCAATGGTGGGGGGAAGGATTGGGAATTAAGCAACTCTTAAATTTATCAGCTGAAGCATCCTAAATGAAAACAGTAGTCATGTATTTTTTTATGCTTGTCATACTCACTTTGTGTCAAACACAGGAAGATTTACTATGGGATTTGCTAATTGGAGCCCTTTAGCCTTGGAAATGGTAGAAATCTTGGCTGTCTACTACAAATTGGTCGATTGAATTTGTTGAGCAGTTGCTTACAATTTACACAGTAAATGTGCAAAGGTGACTTTTTTTTTTTTCTTCCAAAACTCTGAACCTAGACAGGTCCACATGCTCAGGCAGAGACTGAAAACTGAAATTGGAAGGTCCTGTGTCCCTCTCGCTTTACTGTGTACCGCCTCTATTTTCCTAGATGTGAATGATGCCTGAGGGCTGGCTGTGGCATAATCAAATTGTTGGATATATCCTTATTGTTCCATGCCTGGGGTGGTTTTAAGTAATCTCTTCTCCAGAGACTGGGAAAAAATAGTATTTGGTGTTTCACAAAATGTCTTCAGTGGACTCTTGTCTTGCTAATATCCGGGGCTTGGAAAATGGAGATACCTCCTGGCTATAATTTTCTTCCCTTGTTGATTTGAGGGTTATGGGAAAGGGCAGGAAAGGGATGCAGTGCATGCATTTCTGATTTATCTTCAAGTCACAAATGCTTGTTTAAGATGTGAAGGAGTTATTGGTTGACCAGGGCTCAGGAGGGTTTCATCCAAAAGTGCTTACCTCTTGAACCAAAAAGTGATCTTTTTCAGAGCTATAATCAATCACTTAAAAGTGTGAATTTTTTTTTAACATTGGATCCATGCAACTCAAGTGGATTCTATATTTGGTTTAGAACTCTTCCATCTCTAAAACTTCTTGGAGGGAAGGCAGCCAGTGAATGGATGGTTTGTTATGACTGAAACATAAATTTGTACATTTCCTTCTTAGTTTAAGCCAAGCTCCTCAATCATATATTAAGAACCTCACCCCACTCTGTCTTCCCAGCCAAGCTTATCCTTCACAACTCCATATCAACCTTAAGTGTAAATCAGGCAAGTCTCCTGATATTCTCCTCCCTACTGCTTTAAGGTAATTTTGTATATATCTGATCTTAAAGATTAACACACAGAAAATTGTCTCTAAATTGTCCCAGGTGGTGGTAGAGGAATCAGTGTGGCTCTCATGTACTGATAATGCTTCTAAATCCTTACAATTGTCCAATGAACATGCCAGAGAAGAGATAGAAACCTTGTATCAACTGGAAATCCCTTTTCTAATGGGCAAATAATCATGAATTTAGTGTTTTGCAATAATATAATATACAAGCCACCCCTTTGCTGGAGCCTAAAGGTTGACTAAAGGCCTATCCAATTAGGCTAGTGCCAGGGTTTGGATTTAGAGACCAGAACCAGGTTAGAGGAAGTCGGGGGCATGAAAGGTCAAAGAGAAAACCCAACCAAAGTCCTAAAGAAGCTAGAAACAAAATCAGTCAGTATATTCAGAACTCCAGAATGAGGCCAAAAGATGATGACAAACCTGTGGTCAAGGGTGAATATAAATGACATGATATCTAGAGTGAAGATGGGATCGAGACCCAGGAGATGCTAGGTGATCACTGCAAAT